CTTTGTATGGATTTCACAGACTTAGATTTGTTATTATTAATGGATCTGTGTTAGAACCTTTAAGCAAATATAAATAAACGTAAGGAAAAATAAGGTGAAGCATTGTCCAAATGTGAATGTGTTTTGTTTGGCAAAAGATACTGTTAACAAACATTGAAAACACTGCTGCCCATTAAATAAATGGGTGAAGGTCACCTCTTGGACCAAAGTTAGATAGAAATGCATCAGTAAAGACAGTTTAATTGTTCTGCCTCAGACTAAAGATTGAGTGTTTTTTCTTTTAACGGGATAAGAGAGAAAGAAAAACTAATAATAACTAACTACTGAGTAAATAAAATGCAGAAAACAAGGATCAGTGGCGATTAGGTCTCAATATTTTTATCATCTTCCGTGTTCTGTACTCCTCAGAATGAAGGCAGTAGAGATGATTTAGCATCTTCCATGGACAGGAGCTCTGGTTGCCTCTGTATAATAGGAGGATGGAGATTTATGTGAGTAACAGTTGAAATTCTCTGTTTTTTTATTAAAGTAATATACTGTATTATTAAGAAGTGTGGAATATAAGTAAAGAAGGCAGCTACATCTCCTTGTTGAGTATTGTTATACAAACTATTATATTGATTAATGCACATATGGAAAACAATGTATTAAAGAGAGATATATTTAAGTACAAATTATTCTATATACATCAAGGTTTTTCTTGTTTCTTTTTTTTGAGTTGTACTGCCAAAATTATTGGTGAATTTTTTATTTAATCAATAAAAAATAGAAATATATGTAGGAACATAGGAACAATATTGGATCAGTGATGATTTCCGGTCATCATTATGAGTGGTATATGGTGAATATACCAGTATATTCTGGAACTCTGGAGCACTGAGGAACTCTGAGGTACAATATTAAATTAATTGAGTCCATGCTCAACTCGAGAAGGCATCCTATAAACAGATGTCAAGAATAAAGGAGGGGCTTATTTGTGGTCTTTGTGTTCATGGATAGTCATTCTTTTATTGTAATTGGAAAATGCTAGAATCTGTAAATAAATATATAATTAAAAATAAAGATGAATGGAGTAAAACAATTTCCAATTACTGAAATACGTGCTGAGCCAAGAAATACTATTAATGTACAACGGACACCCTGAATTTCAATTAAAAATGAATGGTACCTGACTGTTACCACTTAGGGTAAGGATGGAGGTGCCAAGAGAAGTGATGGACAATCTTCATCATGTAGCGCAGTGTCAAGATCAAAATGGTTCATTTTCATAAGATTTCACATATCCGCTACATTAGGGATAGCTTACATAACAATGTGAATGTGGAAGCAGGGATGAGTGGATTGTCTCCACCATTTTTATCTTCTGCTTTGTTTTATACTCCTCAGAGTGGATGCACTGGACCAAAAAAGAGGCTTCATCCTCGAGTGCCAGCCTAGGATGGCATCTTGGTTGTAAGAGCCAGAACACCCATGTGAGCATCATCTAGTTCCTAGTCTGGGGGTGGGTGGATTCTCTAAAAGTAATGACTGTGCTAACAAAATGAGTGAAAGAAAATTAAAGGAGGGCATCTTTATCCCACTGATAAACAAGGAACTGTTGTGAAGCAAAAACCCGATAATAAATATGAGAGAGATATGATGACGTGAGAATGGTTCTAGAGACAGGTGAGTGATATCGAGGCCTCGCTGGATTTTGCAAACCCAAGAGTGCCAAAACTGGCATTAGTGAATTAACGTATGAATCAGTGAACCATATAGAATGAAGAGAAGGTCATCTTTTCTGTATCGATGACGGTAAATGCCAGCGTATGAGTCATCGATGACGAATAATTACGTGTCTGGAACTCTGAGGTCCAATACACAAGAAATGTGGTCTTTCTCTTCATGCGTTTTCATTGGTTATGCTAATTGATTCAATGAAAGCATCAATCAACAAATCTGCCAATCCATGGTGTGAAAGTCTCAATCTCGGTCATCACCTTCTCTGGTACTTTTCAGAATAGAAGCTCAAGGTGATTTCAGCCTGCATTTTGATCAAGGTTCTCCTTTTCAGGTTGCTGTGGGACAGAGACCCGGGTGGGGTCCTGTCTTGGTTTGGGGAATTGGTTCAAGTGTTTTCATTGTATTCTCAAACGTGATAGATATCATCAAAAGGTTAACTATGGCCCAATGATAAATATGATATGAAACCTTATGTTGATTTATTATAACATTGATATTTAACATTATATATATAACATTGATATTTATTAATGAAAGGTATAATCTATTTTGGTATTAATTAGAGACAAGTCAGGGGTATTCGAGTGTCTTGTTCTTTGTTTTTTGTTAATCATGTATTTATTTTATTATTATCAATGAATAAGGATTTAATTGATACAAATATATAAATGAATGAACTAAAACTAGGTCTCAAATGAACCAGTGATGATTAGCAGATGAGTCATGGATGACAAATGAGAAAGGTCTGGAACCTTGAGGCCCAAGACATTCCATACTCTAGTTCTTTGTTTATTTCATCCTATGGACAGACGTTATGAATGTTTAAAATTCAAGTTCTAAGATTGAGTTTTAAAATTATTAATATATCAGTGAGAGTACCTTTAAAGATATAGGTAATAGATGAAGAAGAACAGATATATTATTGTCTAATTGTGAACATAAATGGTGAGGAAAGAAATAGTAAGAGAAACTCCCAACACTGGTGCCATTATGAAATCAGTGGATGAAAGATGTTACCTCTGTGGCTAAGATTCAGATAGACTTGAAGTATTGGAAGTCGATTTTGTTTTTCTGAGTCAGTGTCAAGTATTAGGTTTTTCTTTCTTTCAGGAGAAAACAATGTCTACATTAGAAAAAGCTATACATTCCTAAAGGTCTGGGTAAACGAGACGTAGAATGCAAGAGTCAATGACAATAAATTTTCTTTCCTTTATTTTTCTCATTGACTGCACTTCATATTGTTCAAAATGGACACATTCACGCTGATGAAGCATTATTCTGTGGTGATGCACCTTATGATTGCATTTCTGGGTTAGAAGCACAGAGACCGATGTGAGTAATAGTCAAATTTCTTGTCACAGTTTTGTTGATTTCTGTTTGTTTGTTTGTTTTTGTTTGTGTGTGTATTCATTGTATTGTTTGAATGTTCCATATAGAATAACAGAAGGCCAAGTGTAGCTCAGGGATAACTATTGAATTTTATGACACATTAATTGATTACTGCATCAGTGAAAAACAGCATCTAATTTAAAAAAGGGGATACGTTGATGTGAGAATGATCTATGTACACAATAGGGATATCATGACTCTTCTAAGATTTTGTGAATAATAGGGTTTTTTTAGTTATTATGAGCGCATTACTGAATTAGTCAATGAACAGAATTGAGCAAAGAAAAGACTCAATCATGGACCAATGATGATGATCGTTTCGGGAAGAGTCCTAAACGATGAAAACATGTCTGGAACTCTGAGGTCCAATGCAGACATAAGTAGTATATTTCCTCTGATGAAACTTTTTCTGTTTAGAGGTTTCAGGAATATAAATAGATCATATTCTTGTATTAATGTGTTAAAGTAAGAATAATTCTTTATACATCAAGGCTCTCTTTGTTTTTTTAAAATTGTACTGCTTAAAATTATTAGTGAATTTGTGATTTACACAATAAAGAAATAGAAATGTATGTTGAAAAAGAGGGACAATATTGGTCTGATGATGACTATCCGTGGCATATGGGTTGTGTACGATGAATATGTGTCTGGAGCTCTGAGGTCTGATGCAAATGGAATCTAGTCCATTGTCCTGTTTGAAGTGACCTTATAGGCAGTGGTTAGGAATATACAAAGATCGTTTCGGTTATTATTACTGTGCATTTTTTCTATTTTTATAATTGAATCAATGAAATAGTCAATATACAAATGTGTAGAATAAAAAAATGATGAAAGTGAAGCCTTTTTCAATTATAAAAATATGTGGTTAGGCAAAAGTTACTATCATATAGTAATACATTAATAAATATTGAAAAGACTGATAACCATTGAGAAAGATGTGGTATAAGGGTGTTACCTCTTTGGGTGATATAGAAAGTGACAGGTATTGGTTACTGACTGAGTCAGTTACAACTTTGACATTTGATTTATTAAGGGAAAAAGAAACAAATATTACCATAATTTAGTCAATGCCTCAATTACTGTGCAAATGAATAGTGTGTTATTTGGATCAATGGAGAGCGTATATCTCAGTATTTTTATCACCTTGTCTGCTTGTTATTCTTCAGGATGGATGTTCCTGCTGTTTCAGCTTCTGCTGTGCTCACTTGTCACACCGCCCCTGTGTCAGGAAGGAAACTAAGGTG